CATCATTTGAATTATGACTGGAAATAACCTTAACAGTGTTATGAAAGAAAATGTGTTCTGGTTTATCTGTCTCTAAAGCCATCCAAGCAGTGTGCTGTTGCTAATGGTAGGAAAAATAAAATTTTAGGTTGTATCTACAAAAATATTAAACACAAGTCTAAAGAGGTTATAATTTCATTGTATAGGTCAACGGTTAGGCCACATTTAAAGTAATATATTCAGTCTTGGGCTCCTTACCTTAGGTAGGATATTGAACTGTTGGAAAGGATCCTGAGGTGGACGACTAGAATGGAAAGGTTGTCATACAAAGACGGGTTAAAATTTCTGTAGTTAAAGAGGAATCCGATGGAGGTGTTCAAAATTGTTAAGGTAATTGATAGTGTTGAAGCACCATTTTTATTTTTTTTGTAGTTAATGGTCAGAAGAGGACTAGGAAATCTAAACATAAGTTTTTTCAGGGTAAGAGTGATCCTCAGCTAACATAGTTTTGTCAGGGTAGGAGTGAACCCCAGCTAACATAGTTTTGTCAGGGTAGGAGTGATCCTCAACTAACACAGTTTTATTTTTAAGTTTTGTCAGGGTAGGAGTGATCCCCAGGTAACACAGTTTTGTCAGGGTAGAAGTGATCCTCAGCTAACATAGTTTTATTTTTTAAGTTTTGTCAGGGTAGAAGTGATCCTCAACTAACACAGTTTTATTTTTTAAGTTTTGTCAGGGTAGGAGTGATCCTCAACTAACACAGTTTTATTTTTTAAGTTTTGTCAGGGTAGAAGTGATCCTCAACTAACACAGTTTTATTTTTTAAGTTTTGTCAGGGTAGGAGTGATCCTCAACTAACACAGTTTTATTTTTTAAGTTTTGTCAGGGTAGAAGTGATCCTCAACTAACACTAGTTTTATTTTTTAAGTTTTGTCAGGGTAGGAGTGATCCTCAGCTAACACAGTTTTATTTTTCTAACTTGGTGGCTGTCCTTTGGGATGAGTTCCCTTCAGATACAGTAGATGAGGTAAAGTTATGGAAGTTTAAAAGAAGTCTTTATAAATATTTGAATGATAAGAACTGGCTTTGAGTTTTATTTATATATATAGTGCACAGGACAGCCTAGATGGACCAACAGGTCCCTTGTTGTCCTCAAATGTTGTTAATTACACACAAGATGTGCGAATGGACTCAAAAGTTTAAACAGCAGTAACTGTAGCAGAGAAAATAAGACACATTTAAATGCGATATTTCAGTACAGTAAAAAAAAAGGTTGAAATTAACATTCTCTATTTGAAGACCGTGAGGAATTAATTTGTAATTATTTCTTCCTTTGGATGCAGGAGTCTGTTGGTACATAATCATTACATTACGTACATTATCATATCAATACACACTTACTACATTATACAAATGTCACATCTATTAATAATAACTTACAATTTATACTTTGATTCATATTTTCTATGCCTAAACTGATGTATCTCAACAGCCACATGATATCAGATGTACATGTTTATTGTTGGTTAGTTTGTGATGTACAGTTATTGCAAACATTTGACACCGAGATATGATGAGCTGCGATAAATAAGTAATTAACTTCCAAGACAGAAAATACAAGGAGTTAGTAGTTGTTCATTACTATTGGTTCTACAGGCATTACCATACTGTGCCAGACCTTACCGCGTAAAATAAGTTAGCATACACTTGAGTGTATAAGTATAGCATCTGCCTTTGTCATGTGAATGTCACTTGTAAAATGTTCATGAAGTGTCCAATACCAGGGCTCATTAGGTTGGCTGGAATACGACAGGTATGGTAGTGGTCTTGGCACTAATTTATATCTTCAGATTTCATGAGCAACTGTTATGGTTTAAACCAGATTAAGCAAATAAATTTTAATTATGTTAATTGTTGTTATAATAATATTAATAACCAGCATTAAGCCTAACTAAAATTACTAACAGTAACAGCAGTGGTATAAGTCTAACTATCAGTATCACTACTTAATGATAGTACTAGTAGGAGGGCTGTCAGTGACAGTGAACCTAAAACAAAAGTATATACTACTAGTAATAGTAATATCATCTGCTGGCTGACATAAAATGATAAAATCAAAATAAATTAAATGCAGTCTTTAAGCTTCTTGCTATTAATAATTAATTGCACTTACAACTTATATGCTATACTAAGTTTAACTTAGACTTATTTTAAGTTTAAAATGTGTAATTTATATTAAATAAACATAAAAGCTTTATCAACTTAAGGAACATAAACTCAAGTCACCAATGAATTCACTATTCCTACTTCTTTCCAGTTTGCACGTGAATTAAGTCAACTAGCCCCCTCCAAAAACCATGGCCAGCTTTAACATTACCCCTGGTAATAATAATATACCAATAAGAATTAACTTATTGAGATTAAACAGGGAAAACAGCGTGGATCTGGTATTCTCTCAGTGTTGAATAATCAAACGAAAGTACAAATACAAAAATTCCTTCACAACTTACTTAAATTTAAGTTAAGCTTCACATATGATAAATAACACAATGCATAACATACAACTTGTGTTAGCCTTAAGTTGTGTTCAAGTTCCAACATACACTTTACAGAAAGTGATAAACTCACTGCGAAAAAGCAAAGAACTATAATAGAAATCTTTAACCATACTTTACTGTTTAAAAGTTAGAAGATTTTAAAATATCCTGTAAATACCTGAGCAAACACTGAAACGAGTTCCAACACTTTTTTATCAACAGCAGTATTTAAAAAATATGTACGTATCACCTTTGTTTTTAACAATTTACTTTATTGACAAAATCAATATGTTTCTATTACACGAAAAATATGAAAATTGGCATGCACAAAGTATGACAGGAAATCCTTCATAACATGGAGAAATTTACATTTACAAGTAAATAGACAGATAAACTAACTAAAATTAGCTTTGTAAAATGCAATAATTAATTTAACGTTCTGTGTAAACACTGCTTTATCTTGTATCTTTTAATTTTCGTTTTTCTAAAAATATATGCCTCAGTTTATTTGGTGATATCTGTGCTAAGAAAAAAAAACCTCTGTAGATATGACCCGGAAAAATTTAGTTTACACGGAATGCCCCAGATGTAAGTAGATAATGATAATTTAATTAAACACAATAATTATTTTACATTATCTTCGATATTTTCTCAATGTACGTAACGAAATCCGCAGCATAATATCAAAATAATAATAATGTGTGTCTTCAAGACTGCAAACTTACCTGTTATCAGTGAACTTGGAAGTTTGTTTTTAAGATATGAAATATATTTAAGTATCTATTATATTGTTTGCTTTATCGTCGGATGTTAAACAATTTCAGAACTATGAAATATCAATATACTAATTCTAAAATAAAATGATGTAAGAATATACTTTGATTCTATATATAAAAGGTAAAAAAAAAATCATCTCAAACTGTGATGTAAAGTGATCAAAGTTTATTAATACTGATGCTAATAATGAAAAACTTTCTTTGATACAGTTACGTTTAATATGGCAGAAAACTAAGATAAGATCCCATAATATTAAAGGTGGTGGGGGTGGGAGGAGAAAAACCTACCACCAAAGTTACATTTAAACTAAAGAACAAATTACTAAAAGTGATTTAATATCATAAAATGTTGCGCTGTAGACCCAAGCCTTGAAAGCCTATTGGTTAACAGCCCCTGAATAAAGCCCCGAGGGATGAAACCCTTATCATGTTATTAGAGGTATTTGAAATGTATAATTACAGCATTTAAAGATGGTCTAAACTGGAATTATCAACAACCGTATTAAAACAAAGCCTTTTTTAAAAGCAAAAAGCAACGCGACATTTTAATCGCACGTAATTGCTATTACACAAATTGTCTATTAAATATTAGCTAATTAGATTACTTCGGTTACATTTTCGGTTCATCATACGCATAGAAATATCAGCTAATTCTTTCTTTGTTTGTT